CCCCCGCCATGTTTTTGCCTCTAGCAAGGACGCAAGGACTCTCATGGGCTCCCCTGTCTCCCTCTCTTGGGCCTGAAGATGTCTGCTGGCTGGTGGGTGGTGTTTTTTCTTGGTCTAAGACCCTAAGAATAAGCAAGAAGCACGAGAGGGGAGACAGAGCCACAAAGGCTTGAGGCAATGATGCGTCTGTTAAGGAACTATGAAGGAGCCTACCAGTGAGGCATCTGAAACCACATTTTTGAAACTTCAGGAAAATCTAGGTGTCTATATTTAGATTATAGGGAAAAAAACATGTAGCCCTATAAAGTACATCTCCTCGGTTGCCTTGAATCCCCTGTGAACTGTGGCTGTGTTCTTTCACACGCTGTCCTTGGTGTGCTCAGCGAAAAGGCTGGGCTGGACATCAGGGGCTCCTTCTCCTTGGCTCCGAGAGAACCTCAACATCTCCCTTTGTTGCTTGATCGGAAAAGTAGCCCATGGTTCGGCAGGAAAGCACAGTTTGGCAACCACGACTAGTCATAAGAATTATTTATGTGTTTAAAAAGAAGTCATAAATATTGAATGAGACCTGCAATTCATTCTATTTTTTAGAATCGCAAAGTGTTATTGAAAACGTAGGTTTGGCCAAGTCACTGTGTCACTTTGAATTTGCCAGACCCTGTACTCTGCCACTAAGGCAGGATTTTTGGAGCCGCTTTCAGTTGGAAACCCTGCTGAGTTGGCAGTCACGTCTCTGGGTCTGAGTAATAATAGGTTATGTTCTCCAACACACATTCTCTAGCAGATCTCAGTATGTCTTTAGTTCCATGCCTCTTAAGACCTATATAAAATTCGTAATTTGCTAAGTTGAAACTGTGACTAAGTGACTATTGGAAGGATGGACAGAATTGTCACTTTCATTTTTATCCATTCTGGAAACCTTCTGCAGCCAAAAAAGAAAAAAAAAATGTGTCTCTTAAGGTCACGGAGGGCCATGACTAAATGCTGGAAGTTTAATATCTTAGTTAACTAAGTATATTATAGTTATCATATACTATATAAACTAGTATCTTAATTAAAACACTTTTGATTGTAAATATTAAAGAACAGCTAACGCAAGCTTAAGACAAAAAGAAATTTATTTTAAAAGATCTAAAGATGTTTCATGCCTCCCAAAAAGCCAGACCTCAGGAAGATGCTGGAACCAGGAACCCAGCTTCTGTTCAATCCTCCTTCTAGACCACTTTACTTCTGCCTCTCAGAACCCCTTGGAAATAAATATATCTGTCCCACAACTCAAGAATTTAGAAGTTAAAATGACAAACACAAACCCAAATCTTAGTTCCAAAATGTGAGACACAGATTGGTCCAGCTTGGGTTCTGTGCCAAGGATAGTATAAGAAACAGACCCCCCCTGGGTACTTTAAGCAGGAAGTGATTAATGTAAGGGACTAAGTGCTCACAAAAGCGCTGGATAGACTGAAGAAGCAGGTGCCAGGCTGAGCCTCGAATGTCTTAGTCACGCACCAGAGGAGCTTCTAACTTTGAGGCTTCTGTGAAGGGCTTTTCAGCTGAAAAACTTTTGTCCGTCAACCTCCAGGCAGCTGGAGAGAGGATATGAACTCTACTGCAGAAATGCCACAAAGGGAAGGGCTGCTGGGCTCCAGGTGGCTCGCAACGATGGAACCCAATTCACAAATAGAACCTTGCTGCGAGGAAGTCAGAGCGGTGTTAGGTTTTTATTTGCTTTCCCACCTTTCCAATAGAACAAGGGTGACACGAAGGTTCGGAGAGCCAATCTGTATATGCTACCGATGACCTACCAGCCCAGAGCTGACTCAGCTATGGCCAGGGAGGCAGGGACACACAGTATGCATGGATTCCTTGGGTTCCCTCCGTGGGTGGGAAGGATGGCTTATGAGCTGGGCAGAAAACCCAAATGGAATTTACCACCCACCTGAGATCCTTCCACAAATACTCCTCAGAGCCCTTGCCTTGTGCTTTTTTTAGCCACTTGTATCTCTGACATAAAGTTGAGTTCAGAAGCTGGGGCGGGGCTGGTGAGCAAGAGTTTTCATTGCTCCAAGAATGTCTGTTTCTTTGTTTTGCTGTGGAAACATTTTTATCATCTCCATGTTTTGCTTTAAAATTAGCTTATGATTCACATATCTTCTCCCTCCGCCCCACAGCTGCCCACATTGGCGTTGGAATAAGTGGACAAGAAGGCATGCAAGCTGTCATGTCAAGTGACTACTCCTTTGCCCAGTTCAGATACTTGCAGAGACTGCTGTTGGTACACGGCCGGTGGTCTTACATAAGGATGTGCAAGTTCCTTCGATATTTCTTTTACAAAAACTTCGCATTTACATTGGTTCATTTCTGGTACTCCTTCTTCAATGGGTACTCTGCACAGGTAATATAAGAATTATTATCTGATGAATAGAACTCTTGCATAAATAAAACTCTACTTCTGAAAAAAACCTTTCCCCTCCATATTTGCAGTTTTGATGCTCTCCTAATAGTTGAGGCACAGATTGAGATTACAGATGATGTTTCTTTAAAAAAAATTTTTTTTATGTTTTATTTCTTTTTGAGAGAGAGAGAGAGAGAGAGAAAGAGAGCGTGAGCAGGGGAAGGACAGAGAGAGAGGGAGACGCAGAATCCAAAGACAGGCTCCAGGCTCGGAGCTGTCAGCATAGAGCCCGATGCGGGGCTCAGACTCACGAACCGTGAGATCATGACCTGAGCCGAAGTCAGACACTTTATCGACTGAGCCACCCAGGCACCCCGATGATGTTTCTAAAATGTTTCTGGTGCTTTAAAAATACTTTAGTTTGCCTTTGAAAAGTTGGGATTTGTTCCTGGCTTTTGTTTATGTGTTTTGCCTTCACCTGCGATTTTTTTATAAGTTACCTTGCCATTAAGAACAACAATAAGGGGCACCTGGGCGGCTCAGTTGGTTAAGTGTCTGACTCTTGGCTTAGGTTCAGGTCATGATCTCACAGTTTATGAGTTCAAGTCTGGTGTCAGGCTTTGTGCTGACAGCACAGAGCCTGCTTGGGATTCTCTCTCTCCCCCTCTCTCTGTCCCTCCCGTGCTCACTTGCTCTCTCAAAATAAATAAACTTAAAGAAAAGAATAATGATAAATTATTCAACTTTGATAGCAAATCAACAATGCTGTTGTGATCAAGGCTAAAGGGATTATCTAAATTTTGGATGATCACAGATCTGTTCTCAATTTTTTTTTTTTTTAAGTTATGGCTGAAATGGGAGTGGGGGTCATATATGTTAAGACGGTGATACGGCAGAAAAGCATCACTAGTAAAATTGAACCTGTCAGCGCACGTGGTTGTCCAAACTTCTGATGGTGTGCCTCAAATGGTATCAGAGGAGCCTTGGGAACCGTGGGTCAGGAGCAACCTTGAACACACGAGGGCCTTCTTCCTGCTCCCATGCAGGACCACCACCACTGGCGGTGACCAGCAGGCCTGTTTCCTCTCTGCCACCCTGAGGATGTGTGTGTGCGCAAACCCTGTGCATCCTTTTCAGAAGCGTATTTTTTTTAAACGTTTATTTTTGAGAGAGAGCAAGGCGGGAAGGGCAGAGAGAGAAGGGGGACAGAGGATCCGAAGCAGGTTCTGCACTGACAGCACAGAGCCTAACACGAGGCTCGAACTCACAGACCGTGAGATCATGACCCAAGCCAAAGTCAGACACCTGACCGACGGAGCCACCCAGGCGCCTGTTTTTAAAATCCAAATTCTGCCTCACAAAATGTTTAAACAGAAATGCTGGACTTGCAAAGTAAAAGTAAAGAACATTCGAATGATACCTTATGTGCTTCTTGGGCCGGTCTGTGGGTTTATGTATTCCGAATCTGTTAACAAAGGGATACAGAAAGGATGGGCACCAACATATTTTCCAGCATTCTTCACATAGAATGGACGGACTCCCTTCCCAAAAAATGTTTTGCTGTATGTTCTCCCTTTCATTTTAGAAGGAAGGTCTGTTCTGCGGAGTGTGGATTCTGCCCATTCCGTTGAACCCAACTCACACCTTCTGCAAATGCAGAGGAGTGGGGTTTACGCTGGCAGAAGCCCCCACGCGTGCTGGGGGCCTCCCAGTTGAGAAAGAATGCATGTGCGTTGACTAGGCCAGCAGCAGGTCTTGGTTTGTGACGCAGACTCTAACCTCCCCACAGACGGCGTACGAGGACTGGTTCATCACGCTCTACAACGTGCTCTACTCCAGCCTGCCCGTGCTCCTCATGGGGCTGCTTGACCAGGTAGGACCTCGTGCTCACAGGGACACGTCAGGGCAGACCGAGCACCTGTTCGAGAAGCAAAAAGCAAATATTATTTCACTGCATTCTTTTGGTTTTCCCTTCTTCCTGAGAAAACCCTATGGCTGTCCTGTTGCCAGGCAACAAGAGGAACCGTGCTTCCTGTTTTATAGTAAGAAACGAGGATTTCTGTGCATGGGTTGAATTCATTGACAAAAAAGTGTATTATCTTCCTTTTGGACACTAACAGTTTCTTGTTAAGACACCCGACAGTATAGTATGTCTCTATAACTTACTGTAAACGTCAACTATTTTAATATTTCTCTAAACTTAGGTGTTTAATTCCCAAATTAGTTCACATTCTATCTAGCAGCGATTCTTGGTAAAGTACTTTAATGAATAAAAAGAATAATTTGGAATTAACCCATCAACTTGTATGTGAAAATACTTTCCCAAAGAATTAATCAGAATCTGTTTTCCCAGGAGGTAAAAATAGCCTCCCTCCATTTTTTTTTTTTTTTGAAATTACTAGTTTGCTTTCTATGAACAGCAAAATAATAAATTTCTACCTATCCGTATCTTAATTAAATATCAAGTAATGGTGGACTAAAGAGGTTGGCCTCTGCACACTGCCAACTCATCAGGACTCACCTTGTCGAGTTTTTGCCTTCCTAAAACTGAGTAAGTTGACACTCTTTGTGAGGTATAAACTGTAATGGATCTCGGAGTTCTTCGATTCCTGGCGGATACGCAGCTAATGGTGTTTTCCCTTTAAGGATGTGAGTGACAAACTGAGCCTCCGCTTCCCTGGGCTGTACATAGTAGGACAAAGAGACTTACTTTTCAACTATAAGAGATTCTTCGTAAGCTTGGTGCACGGAATTTTAACATCGATGGTCCTCTTCTTCATACCTCTTGGAGCTTATCTGCAAACTGTGGGGCAGGATGGAGAGGCACCTTCAGACTACCAGTCTTTTGCTGTGACGATTGCTTCTGCTCTTATAATAACAGTCAACTTCCAGGTACATGGCTTTGGTCAAGTGTTCTCTGTATCTGTGAGTTACCAGGATTTCTGTACATAGACCAGTGCGCATAGCCATCTGGCTGTCACTCTCCCTCCAGCTAAGCCTTTGCCATTTTACAAAACATGAACGCTATCGTCACCCCTTACACCAAGCACATTTCCTACTTCTCACCTGAGCTGAGGGTAGTTTCTGTTTGTTTAGTATTCAAGCCAGATCATGCTTAAATTGCTGAATTCTGTTTTCAGAATCCTTGGATCCTTTATTTCTTGGTGACTCCCCAAAATGAGTGCTGTTTCTCTGGTTTCCCAACAGATTGGCTTGGATACTTCTTACTGGACCTTTGTGAATGCTTTTTCAATTTTTGGCAGCATTGCACTTTATTTTGGCATCATGTTTGACTTTCATAGTGCTGGGATACATGTTCTCTTTCCATCTGCATTTCAATTTACAGGTTGGTATTTTCTAAATTCCAAACATAAAGGTGTCAAGAAATGTTATTAGTTTAGATTCTGACATAACTTCTAAGTAAAACACAAGGTGAAAATTATTGCTAGTGAAAATTAATGTCCTGACTGGCAAATGAACAACAGTGGTGGGCTGTAAGTGTGGTAATGTGACAGTAAGAAAGCAAAATTAAAAAGTTTTAAGATACAATTGTGCATCTGTTCAGTTAGTTTTTATTCCCCCCCCCCAAAATCTAATATTGGTAGGTAATGAGAAATTGAGTATGCATGTAAACTATTAATATAACTTAATTTTTTCAAAGCATTATCTGGAAATATGTCACGTCCTATAAAACTTCTCATACATTTTGACCTAGTATTTCCAACTGGAGAAAACACCTTAAGATAAAACATACCAATTTTTGGAAAGGCTAATTTGTACAAAGATTATACCACCACCACGATTCCAATTATTTTTAAAAAGTGGAAATAATTCAAAGACCTAATAAAAATAGTATATTAGCTAATCAAGCTATGAATCACGTATGAGGAAATTCTAGAATTCAAAAGTGGAAAACTGTAACATCATTAGAAAAATGAATGCAGAGCAGTAAATTTTTAGAAATTACTTTATAGCCATATAAAATAGGACAAATGATAAATGCTAGAATGTTAATTGCTATTTCACACATATTTTAAAATTTATATCATGAATCAGGATTTACAAATTTCTTAAATAGAGTAGCTTTGAGTTCACAATGGAAAAAATAAATCCCCATGAACTAGTTTCCCTGTAAAAGATGAGTTTGTATTTGTTTTTTTTATGACCAGTTGTAAAAAGACCATTGCTATGGTAACCCTTTTCTTGGGATTAAGCTCATTTTTTTTTGGGGGGGGGGGATTGTTTTTGGTTGCATTGTTTTGTGTCTTAAAAAATTTAGTGCCCTGTTAGAATATTCCCAAAGGGAATGTTTTTAAACACATTTTTAGCAGTATAACAACACATTTTTTCAAAAAAGGCATTTTTATAAACTTACAGTGTAAGTACAGAAAACACTGTGACAAATTTGGCTCTAGAGGATGTTAATTATAGCTTTAAAATTGGGTAGTAATAGGATTACTTGGTTGTATGATAGAATTGTTACTTCCTCTGCCATAAACCAGCAGCAAACTGCAGTGGAAAAAGTATGGCTCTAGTCAAATGGATGTGGGTTTCAGTTCAGAAGTGGCCATTGGTAGTTTTGTTACCCTGGGCGAATCTTTTTACTTCTCCACAATTTTCTTATGAGGCAAAGAGGAAACTTATTTATCCCTCAGAGCTGACTAAATAGCATGACCCAAATAAAACACCTAGTGTTAAGACCTGTCATACAAACGGCAGTGCTAATTGTTATTGTTATCTGGAGTTTCAAACTATAAACTTTGAAAAATAAATTCCTGGAAAAATTGAGAAGTATAATAGATTGCCTAATTTTGCATTTTTACCTAATACGATGTCAACAAACATACTTTTTATTTTTCGCTTAGTCATTTGCTGATGTACATTTGCCTTCCTGATTTTGTTTTGCTTAGTCCTATTTTATTTAAATTTTTTTTTTAACGTTTATTAATTTTTGAGACAGAGCGAGACAGAGCATGAACGGGGGAGGGTCAGAGAGAGAGGGAGACACAGAATCTCAAACAGGCTCCAGGCTCCGAGCTGTCAGCACAGAGCCCGACGCAGGGCTCAAACTCACGGACCGCGAGATCATGACCTGAGCCAAATTCGGATGCTTAACCGACTGAGCCACCCAGGAGCCCCTGCTTAGTCCTATTTTAAAATGTTCATTCCTTCAGCAGTGATGGAATGTTCTGGGGAGGCCAATCTGATTGTAAAATTTTACCATAGACAATGCATGTAAGGGTTACGGGATATTAACTATGCTCTTCAGATGAAGGACCTCTGTGATTCATCCTCCACGTTTTTGCAGGCACAGCATCAAATGCCTTGAGACAGCCATACATTTGGTTGACCATCATTCTGACCGTTGCAGTGTGCTTACTGCCCGTCGTTGCCATACGCTTCTTGTCAATGACCATTTGGCCATCAGAAAGTGATAAGGTATAGAAAAAACAGTATTCTCCTCATTCTGAGTGCCCCTCACACAAATCAGAGCGTGTCCCCACAGCAGCTTTCCTGCAAATTCTAAACTCATTGGAACTTTGGTATGGAGGTTTATTTAATACTACTTCTCTTTAACTCTGTCTTGCAAAGAAGTCCTTTGAGACAGGGATTTTTCTTTTCATGCTTTTTATTTTAAACATTATCAAAGGGAGAATAGTATAATGAACCCTCATATGTCCATCCCCTAATTTAACATTTTGCCCTGCAAATAGGTTGGGGTATGTACGTACCTATAGAAAATGCCACCTCTTCTGGTGGAATGTCTGAGCTACAAGTTGTTCAAACAATGTATCACTTCAATTCACATAATCAGCAGCAGGCTTCAGGCTCTGGTGACTGAGTACCTAAACGTCTGTCAAAAGCACTGGGGTTCTTTCCATCTCTCCCCTCTGCTATCCTCATTATGAGCTTCACCTTGAAGTTGGGGGGATAGCTACTGCAGTTCCAGGCACCTCCTTCTGACACACCCGTCCAGATGAAGACAGGAGACTGCTCCATAGCTTTCTCTTAGCAGCCCGAGAGTTGTGCATGGGAGGGCCCAGGCCACATCATGCAGATCCCCTTAGCCAGATGAGGTCACACGGCCATTGCCGGACTCGTGCGGAGCAAGGGAAGTCAACCAGCCCTGCTCCTGGGAGCAGTCTCCACAGCCCAAGAGGGTTGTGACTGTATGCAGGTAAAGGTGTTCTTGACTCTACTCCTTCTTCATCAGGAAGGAGAGAGAAGATGCTAGGCAAGCAACCTTCAGTGCCCCCTAGATATTCTCCCATGTCTGCTGACCAGAAGATGCAGTAGCAACAAGGGAAAGGGAACAACGGAATTTTCTCTCGAATCTGTCCCAGTCTAATTTGTCAGTGGCAAAGAACAGTAGCGGAGGCGAGTGGGAATTCCGGCTCCCCGTTTTCTAGAAGGTCCGAGACCTTGAAAGTGTTACGTAACCGCTCGGCGCGCCATCCCCTGTAAAAGGAGCACGGCGATGCCGCCTTAAACAAGTCAGACTTCGGAGGGCCCCCACCCCCTGGGCGTTAGTGCCCGTCCACCTCCGCCACCACAGCCCTTCCATTTCATTGTCGGCCTCGCCCCCTACCCCCGCAGATCCAGAAGCATCGCAAGCGGTTGAAAGCGGAAGAGCAGTGGAAGCGGCGGCAGCACGTGTTCCGCCGGGGCGTGTCCTCGCGGCGCTCCGCCTACGCCTTCTCGCACCAGCGCGGCTACGCGGACCTCATCTCCTCCGGGCGCAGCATCCGGAAGAAGCGCTCCCCGCTGGACGCGATCATAGCCGAGGGCACCGCGGAGTACCGGCGGACTGTGGAGAGCTGATGCGGCGGCGAAGCCGGCACACACACCCACACACAGATGTCTATTTTTTTATGAAAGACTCTCAGGACTTTTTAAAAAACCAAAAACTGAATTTGTCACGAGGATGTTAAAGACAACAACTTTTGTAACAAACCACTTGGGCTGGACTATTGCAATGGCGAAGCCAAGAATACCTTTTCAAAAGTCCTCTTGTTCAACTGCTTGTGTTCATTAGGCTTCAGAGGGGATGTCGTAATCCAGTCTCGATCTGGGACAACAGAATTAGAAACTTATATTTCAGTGCAAATGGTACCGCATTATAAAATTACAATGAGATCATTCCTGCCTGGGATCTTCAACATACATAACCAGAGGTTACTTTTTTT